AGAACATTAAGAAATCCAATAACAAATAAAGCAAGTGAAGAACTAACGGTTGGTTGGAGAAGTGGCGTTTGGAGTTTTCATAGAAATCGATTACCGTGATCTATTAGGCCATCTCTAATGCATTGAACTCTTAAGAGTTCAATGGATTGCCACATCAGCATTCCACTAACTATACCATTTAACCTATTAAACTCTACACTCCATTAAACTCTTAAGAGTTTAATGGATTTCCACATCATCATTTTAATTTCTTTTATAAATAATATTAATAAATAAAACTAGAGTATTATATTAATTAGAAATTCAAAGTTACAATTACTAAATATTAATTAAAGATTATAATTTAGAAATTAAAAATTACAAATAATATACTAAATAAAAACCACAATATCAAAAATACAAATTTTACTTCATATTATATATATATATATATATATATATATATATATATATAGTTTGTTTATTGCCAAAAAAAAAATTATTAAATATTACTTTCTATATAAATTGAGAAAGAAAACAAAAATAAAGAAAAAAAATAAGTTTTTATAATAAATTGAGAAAAAAAACACACACACACAAACAAACAAACCCATTACACTGTTGAATGGGGATTAAACCCCCAATTCATTCAACCCACTTCACAATGTATTATATATCCATTGAACAGTTACATAAGCATTTTTTCCCTAAACTCCCCATGGAATCCCATTGGGGATAACCTTAGTGTTGATGAGCCTTGAAAATAGGAAATTGACAACTCACGCACGCTAGGTAATCTCGCTTTCGACGCTCTCTCTTGGCACGCGATCAGTATTGGACTATTGGGCCAGTCCATTAGCCTTAAAAACAATGGAATAACATAGTAAAATCCAATATAACAAGAAAAAAAGGGGTCCTTGACATTTGGGGGCCCAAGGCGGTCACCCAACTTGCCCTGGTCCATGGGCCGGCCCTATCGGTAACAAAGATAGAAAAATATACCTAAAAGTTATCTTCACTTCTTACATAAGGAACAAAAGATGAATAAGAGCCTCATCATACCTGAAAGGTATCTTCACTTCTTAGAGGGTGTTTGGATAGGGGAAAAAAAAGTGCTTATTGTTTATTCCCACCATAATAAGTTAAGTTTAAGTGTTTGGATATGAATCCTTAAGAATCAGCTTATTGTAATAGGGATAAGCTAAATAAGTTGGGGTGTTTGGATAGGAAAAAAAGAGGTGCTTATTGCTTATTCCCACAATAAGCTAATTTAAGTGTTTGGATAAAATTCAGCTTATTAGGCTAAATAAGCTAATTTTAATAAGCATTCCTCCCCATGCTTATTGCTTATTGCTTATTCTCACCACAAATAAGCTATAAGCAATAAGCTAAAAATCTAATCCAAACACCCTAAGCATTATCTTCCTTGCTTATTGCTTATTGCTTATTTTAATAAGTTAATAAGTTATAAGCTAATTTATCCAAACACCCCTTACATAAGGAACAAAAGATTAATAACAACCTCATCACGTTCAGCTACATATATTTCTCTTCGTAATTGTTATTTCTCTGGTTGGGAGTTGAACACGTCATGTAGAAGTTCATTTTCCTATTTTACAAATAAAAAAAATAATTTCAATAAATAAGATAAAAATTAATAATCAATAGATAGACATATATAGGGTAAACCGTAAAGAACACCCCACCCTCAGGTGTACCACGAAACCGGAACCAAGCAACCGCCTCACAAAATTAAGCTGCATGAGATGCAAAAGGGTAAACAATCAAAAACTATTTTAAAATATTATTCAGATCAAATAAATACACCCATATTTCTTGAGGTAATGTGTTGACTTTCAATCTTTGTTTAACACTATTTACATAACTTTCCGGGATATGGCCATCCTAAAAGTTATACAAATATCGTTTAGTAAAGACGTTAAACAAATCATATGTTATAATAGAGTTACTTTCTATGAATATCCAATTGTTTGATTTATTTATTTATGCATGTAATATTTTTGTATGCATTAATGCGTTGATTGTGGACTTTAGTTTGTCCCGTCTGACTTGGATATTGTTTTTAGAATATTTTATAAAATTTTAGAAGATTTGCGTGAGATTAATCACTATTGAAATTCTTTTGCTACATTAATTAGGAGATGATAACACTGAGCATATAGTTTAAACGGTTCATGTTCTAACTTCTAAATCTATATATATATATATATATATATATATATATATATATATATATATATATATATATATATATATATAATTTTTTGAGTTTTTGATGAAATTTTGATTATTCAAATGCAGAAATCAGATAGAATTCATCCTCTGTTTTCTTTGACAAAACCTAATCTCTGATCAGCTGTGGACTAAACATTAGTTTTCTTTCTTTGAAACTATGGTAATGTTTTTTGTTGGCTTATTAAATGATATTTAGAGGGACATGTTACCATTTAAGCTCTTGTGTTTGTCATTTATGTAGTTGTGTATTTGAGCTCCACCTTTTAATGTTTGAATTCTATTATGCGATCTTCATAGCAAGAAACTAATAGCCATATCCAACAACTTTAACAATTGTTTTTCTTACTTTGGTAAAAAATGTTTCTCCATTAGAAATTTTGTCTTAAACTAGGCCTAACCTTTTGCAAATTGATTGTCTATCTTACAACAAAATATGGTTTATGCAGTAAAGTTAAATAGAGGCCTTTCTGTTGTGGACAGCTACAAGCTTCTAAAAGGAGAAGAACTAATAGAAGATGAAGTTTTTCTTGCATGTGCCCTTGGTTGGTGCATTAAATGGGTAATTAGTAATTACATATAAAAACCAAAAACTATTAATTTGTGCCTATGCATGGATTTTCTTTTCCAAATAACTATTAAGGGGCTGTTTTTTTTCCAACTAAGTTATATACGGGTAAAGTGATTGAATGGGTAACGATGTCTCTTTCGATAAACGGATAAAGTGAAAAGGTATGAATGAGAATAAATGACCATTTTATCCTTACATTCTATTTTTTCCGCAATTTTCATCAATTGTAAGGTGAGAATGGTTGTTAGGAAAAAAGAAGTGAAGATAGGTAAATGGGTCATGTCTTCATACCTTAAGTCATGTTTTTTTGACTTAACCCCATTACATTGTCCTGTCCAGACTAAGTCAAAAAGATAGAGATGTCAAGATTAATTGCTTAATGCATTAAGCTCATTAAGTAAAAAAGAATCAACTTAGTCGTGTTAGATGATAGCATTTGTTGTATCTTGTGATTGCAGCTTCAAGCATATTTTCTTGTACTTGATGACATTAAGGATGAATCCCGTACACAGTGTTGGTTTAGATTACCCAAAGTTGGTATGATTGCTGTAAATTTCTTGGCAACCATATTTTCCAGAATCTTATAGAAACATTTCAGATCAAAGACTTGTTATGTGGATCTACTAGATCTGTTCAGTGAGGTTTGTTTATGTTACATAGTCATTTTATTAAGAAGATAATTTGATTTTTTTAGTTCATATAAGGTTTCTTACTCCCCTGTTTTGAACAGGTGGAATTCCAAACAACATCTGGACAGATGATTGATTTGAATTTGATTACTACACCTGTTGGAGAGAAAGATCTGTCCAAATATTATTAATCAAATAAAACCAACCTTAAATTTTATAAAAGACTAATCAAATAAAACTAAAAATTCTTTAAAAAAGGATAATGTAAAAAATATAATTATGCTTTTTTAATGAAAAAACAACATTCACATCGTTTTCTGCAAAGTCTTTACTACTACTTAAAATTCTTAAATATAATATTTGTTTGTAACTGTATGATACAATTAATAAAGAATGACATTTCTAGATCTTATATATTAGAAAAAAAAAAATTTATATGTGACTGATACGAAATTTTATTTTAACTCGTAAGAAATATTTTACATTTAAATGTTACCAAATTTCCAACATCTCATATATTTTTAAATAAAAAAAATAAAAAAATATAAATAATGCAAACAGGTGGTAAAATGAGAATGTAGATAAGAATGAGTTGGCATTTCAAGCTTATTATAAAAGAAAAAACAATTTAAGGTTTCATAGAGATGTTTGAAGTTTGAAGAAAAATGGTAAAACCTCTTGTAAAAAAAAGTTTGAGGTAGCTAGCTTTACCTTTATGTAAGAAGAAAGCAGAAACTTGGTTACTATTTAGTGACATTAGAATATAGACCAAAAGTTTACCTTATCCACCAAGCCTGAAACTTTCTTATTGGATCTTTTGTAAAGTTGAAAACAAAATCATCTACTAAATAAAAAGGACAGAAACCAGAAAAGTTAATATTGTTAGATGAATGATTTCCCAAATACTTTTTAGTATCATATATACATAAAACGCTTGCTAGAAAGAAAATAAGAAAACACTACCTACCTTGTTAAGCAATCATATAAAGTCAAACATCTGTGCATCATAGGTGTTGAGAAAACTCTGGTCGCCTAGAAAAACAAGAAATCACACAATCATAAAACCCAAAAGATTGGTATTTACTCCAAAGTCATTTTGCATAATCCAATGTTGACATTGCATGCTAAAAGTATTATAAATGCCTTAAAAAGGAATTAACATTGTGGGCATGTTGACCTTATTAAGCTATAAAGCAAAAGCACAATCGAACAAATGTAATCATGTCCTACGTGTTCAACACAAGCAACACTTAGGTATCAGTATCATATAAAAACAATTCGCAAATCCTTAAAACTTTCAAAAAAAATGCATATTTAATAGAGGCCTCAAAATCTCCATATGAAAGTGCAAATATATAACCACCAAAGAAATGCTCCATTATAATCAAGATGCCTTCAAGTTCCCTGCAGATGAACATCAAACATCATCAGAGATTCAAGTAAAAGCAATTACAGCTAAAAAGGCAATGAAGGTAGAGAGAGAAGATTAGATATAGACATGAAAAATATTTGTTGTTATGTAATACAATGTAGATACATACCACATCAATCATTCGTCAACCTCAGCTCTAATCTCCTTCTGAAGCTCCTCTTTATACTCCTCAAAACTCCCCTCAAACTTGTCCACAACCCCATTATCCACAACCCAAATCTCACTCTTCTCTTCATCATCACAAACCCTAGAAATCAACCTCGAGTCATGACTCACAAGAACAACCCCACCACTAAACTCATCAAGTGCATCCGCAAGTGCATCAATACTCTGCATATCCAAATGATTTGTGGGCTCATCAAGCAACAAAATATGCGGTTTTGACATTGAAATCGATGTAAAAACAACACGCGCTTTTTGTCCCCCTGACAATTTAGCAATTGGAGTCAAATGATTATGACTTGGCAACCCGAATTTACCAAGTTTAGCACGAACTGCTTCTTGCTTGCTAAACCCCTCTTGTTCTGGATGTAACCGGAGTAGATACTGAACCGGGGTTTCACCCATGGTCAACAAGTCAACAAAATGTTGTGAGTATCTCCCGATTCTTAGCTTCTGACTTCTCCTCACTTCGCCTTCAGTCGGATTCAAATCACCTGCGAGTAAGTTTAGTAAAGTTGACTTTCCAGCACCATTGGGCCCCACGATCGCGACACGTGTCCCCATATCAATCCCGACATCCACATCAGATAATCGAAAATCGTCTCTTTCCGGATAACTAAAACTAACATCAATTAGTTGCAACAATGGTGGAGTTAACTCGGTGGGTTCGGGAAAATGAAACTCGACTGTGTAATCTCTCCATTTTTGTGGGGCTTCTGGGATTTCTTCATCTTCATCCACTTTCCCTTTTGATTTCTTTTTCGCTTCTTTGACTGCAAATTTCGCCTTCTCTTTGACTTTCTCTTGTTGCTTTTGGTTCCCGGCTCTTTTAGCAGCTTTGACTTGTTTGTCATAAGTTTCAAATTTTTTGTTCATCTCTTTGCGACGTTGTTCATACCCACTTTCAAAATCATCAAAGTTTCCACGATACATGTGGAGTTTTAAGTCATGGAGATGGATTATTTCATTACAGACAGTGTTTAAGAAGTCTCTATCGTGTGAAACAACAACTAAAGTTTTCTTCCATCTGCATAAGTATTCTTCCAGCCAAAGAACAGCTCTCAGGTCAAGATGATTTGTGGGTTCATCAAGTAGTAACAAAGTAGGTTGAACAAAAAGGGCACGAGCCAATGAGATTCGCATACGCCACCCACCACTGAAAGATCTTGTGGCACGAATTTGCATAGCTTTTGTGAACCCTAATCCAGCAAGAATCTTGGAAGCTTGTGCTTCAGCAGCATCTGAACCCATTATCTGTAACTTTTCGTATAATTCAGCAAGTTTTTCTCCTGCGTCATCATCGACTTCATTTCCATTTTCGCCCTCGGGTGATTCCAACAATGTGGCGACTTCTTGTCTTAGCCTTACGAGCTCCTCATTTGCTGCAACTACAGCTTGAAGGGCAGTTTTGTCATCACCGACTATTTCTTGTTCGACTAAAAGAACATCTATGTTCTTGGGAACAGGAATCTTTCTCCAAGCTAGAAGCTTTAAGAGGGTTGACTTTCCCTTTCCGTTGGGTCCAACTAACCCGTATCTCTTTCCATGAGAGATTTTCACAGATGCATTTTTCATCAACTCTTTCCCTCGTGCAGAAACTGAGAAATTATCCACTGTTATGTCTTTTACATTTGCATCTGCATCATCTTGACCATCAAGAACTGAAGCCCGACTACCTATCACCACTGTGAATGCATCATGGTCATCTTTTAAAGCTTCTTGTTTGGCTTGTTCAATTACTTGGGCTTGAATCATATCCTTCTTTTCTCGTTTCTTTAAATCTTTCTCGGTTATTGATACTTCAAGATTCCTGTCATTAGCCCTTTCTTTCCTGCTGGGCTTTTTGGGTCCTCCTTTTTGAACTTCTTCTCCGGATTCATACTCTGCATCATCATCTTCTTCATCATCTGAAGGAGGGAGATCAATGTCTGCATAGGACTGTAATTTTGGAAGTGCTTTGGTTTTGGGATTACGGGTGGTGGAGCTTGAGGAGGTTACTTTCTTTGCTTTATCAGGTTTCTGGTCCATGCTGGCAAGCATGGCTGAGACTGATAGCTTCTCTTTCTTTCCTTCTTTAGTGCTTTGTTTACCCTTCTCTCCACCCTCATCTGTTTTTTTCTTTCCCATTGGATTAATAAACTTTCACGAATCTGTATGCAAGGTGGAAAAACTCAAATTAGACCAACCTCGAGACTACTAACTCATTTCTAATTTCTTATTCGATTCAATAACAAGCGGCCAAAAAACAGATACAGCCAAACAAAATTTTCATATATTCAAGTATAAATTCTGAAGCAAGCAAATTTTCATATGATTCTGAAGTGGGCACTATTTCAAAAATTCTGGAGAAGAATCAGTTACAACTAACCTAAAAAAAACTGAGGGAACGGAATCAGTGGAGGGATGGATGCGTTGATTCGGGGACTGGAAAGCTGGATGCGTCGAATCAGTGGATGGCTGATTGTCGGACGGTCGGAGAAAGAGGCGTCGAATCAGTGGAGGGCTGGAGGCGTCGTTGCGTCGTGCCGTCGGACCGTCGGATAGATATGGCGAGATGTATGATTGCCGGCTGAGTAAACAAGAGAAATGGAAGTATGGAATGGAACCCTAAGTGTCTAGACAAGAATTTAGATACGGCAAGAAGATCGGAAACCCTAACCAGAGAGGGGAAAGAGGGTATCCATTCCTTAATAAATACGCAAAAACTACACCTCGGATGTTAAAGTGATATTTTTTTTAACTCGCTTCAATTTGTAGTTCACATAATTTCTAAGTAAGAACATCTCAGAGGTCGATTTATACCATAAAAAAAAATATTATAACGTTTATTTTCTTACAGACTATTTTTTATTTATTTTTCTTTATCTAAGTCGACTGTAATTGAAAAAAAATATATATCAGAATAGGTTTTTTAAACAAAGAACATGATTTTTCTTTATCTTTTTTGCCAAATATTTTTAAATACAAATATTTTTGATTCTCATACAAATCGGTTCTGGATTTAATTTCTATTTTATACGAACCCTTATTTGGATCTGTTTCAAAATATGAAAATTTAAAAACACTGAATACTTAAACGAATTGATCGTAACAACATTGATAACTAATACATTTGTTGAGAGTGTCTAATAGGATCTTAAAGTTAAAATGTTAATAAATCACATTTGCAATTTTTTTTCAAAACTAATTGTATTATGTGAATGAACGCGAACACATAACCATAAAACAATTTGAACATACATCAATGATAATATCTTTTGCAAATATCTAATGTTAAATAACATTAACGAAATGTTGATGGTAAAGCACATGAACTTTTGCTTATGACTTATATTTAGCAATTTGGATTATCATTTAAAACATTTTTTTTTTATCGTTTGTAACTTGTATTGTAATGAATTAGTTATAATATTTACTTTTTGTTTCAATGGATAAGAATTATTTTGTATTAACGAAATTAAAAAAATGATGTAATTGGGTTACCCGGTCCTAGAATAGAAACCGTCGGTTTCGGGACTAGTTCCAAAAATTTAAAAACTGCCTAGACCAGCTTCAATTCCGATTCTAACTTCACAAGAACCGCGAGTTCCGGTTCCTTCTTCGGTTCCAACGAAATGAAGCGAGTACCCGCCTATGCTCATCCTAAATTTATACTATCACTCAAACCGATGGGTATATAGTTTAAACGTTGTGTAAGAGGTTGAATTGGCCTCCCTCCACACCATTGAGCTGCTTGGAACATACCCTCAGCTACGTCGTGTGGTAAAATATGGAGGACTTGACACAAAGCAACACAATTCCATTGATTCAAATGACCGTTCAACGGTCAATTATATATATATATATATATATATATATATATATATATATATATATATATATATATATATATATATATATATATACCATATTTTTTTTTACACACCACTACCATTTTAAAATCTTTTTATATAAATTTTCAACATATTTTTATTATGGATCTGTTTGACTTGTCATCCGGTTATGATGATATGTTTATCACCATGATGACCGAGTATTATACTAATGAACTACAAGAAAAAAATGAAGTCATGCATTCTACGAACAAGAAGTGTGATGTTAAACAGAAATCATGAGGAAGCACGCGAACGCCTATATCTCAATTATTTTACGGATAATTGTGTATACAAATAAAATGATAAATGATAACAAACTTAAGAAAGGAATGAACAACTGTGATAGTTTCAAGCGCCAAAAAAGTCCGCCTTTCTCTTTCTCCTTGTTTGTATGGGTGGTGAAGGTGCAATACGTCAATGTATGGATGGTATGTTGGGAAAATAGCATCAAGGATCCCCAACAATCCTATCCATAATAATAATAAAGAAAATAACATAACAAATTAATATACGTGGAAAACTCAAAACCCAGAGAAAAACCACGGACTTCTATAGAGAGTTCACAATATGATAAATTGCACGAGCTTTTATAGAGACAATTCACTATATGATAAATTGTTATAAACACATAGAATAACATCTCAATGCTCTCCTAAATTACATGCCCACCTTCCAAAATGTTAACTAACACTTTCAACAACCTAAAACAAGAAAAAGAATAGAAAGAACTAATTAAAACTTTAAATGTATCAGGTTGGTGTGCTTTGAAACGAAGGTTTTATTCTCTTTTAATAAAATTGGAGAGCATACAAACTTCCATCCTTATATCAATGTGGGATGAGAAAACTTATAACTTCATTTTATTTACTTCTTTTCCTAATTTATTTAGCTCTTTTCATCTCATTTTAGCTATTCTTAATGTGTATAATTTATTTTTTATTTTTTTGTTATTTGTTCATTTTTATCGGGTACTTTCTAGTCTTTTGAGCTTATTTGCAGGATTTATCAAAAACTATTCAACACAGAATATGGAGGGAATACGGGACCTTTGGAAGCTAATGGTGTACCTGTGGGCTTGAAGTGGTACAATTGGGTTTATTGTCAGATTTAGACGTTCTTTATATGCACACTCTCGGTTAAACATATACTACAACTTTTATTTAGATTGCTAAGGCTAAAAAATATTTCATCGAAAATTCACTTTTTACGATACGTGGAACCGTGTCGGTTTTGTCGCAAAACTTCAACGGGTCATAACTTCTTCATTATAAGTCAGATTTCAGCGTTCTTTATATGTACATAATCTTTGTGACATATATTATAATTTGGTAAAGATTATGTATGCTAAATAATCTTCTACCAAAATGTCATTTTTAATGCTTATTATCTCTAAATGACCAACCCGAATCTGCGAGCGTTACATCAAGGAGCAATGGATCATCTTGAAAGAGTTTAGAAGGCATATTTGGGCTGTCAAGAACCTTACAATTAGCTTAGATCAAGATTTGAAGCATTGGAGAAAGAGACCCATTTAAAGATGAACTAAATTGACCCATTCAACACTTACACGCGTTCTACGTTTACTCTCGAGCCATCCGCGTAGGTAGTGTGCTTTTTGGGGCATCTTTTTCATCCGTGTTTTAAAACCCTTTGACTGAACTTTTGAAGAGGAAAGGAGGAAGAACTCTTGCAAGAACATATATTTTTTGCTCTCTAAAAGATTTGAAGATTTGTGGTCTTTTCCATCTTTCATCTTGAACAATGTTTGGTATTTCTAAACTATATTGTTTTTCCTTAATCTTAGCCATGCTAGGCTAGATTTATCATTGGTTGACTTGGATGTAATTGCTTGAATGATTTGGTTATTTTGAAGAACTCAATGAACTTGTGTTGAATATCTATGATTATATTTTCTATGAAAACTTCCTTCATGTTTATGTATCTTTAGTCATGAATATTGATATGTAAATATTATTTTTGTTGGTTAAATTATTGGCAAAGTAATGGGTCTTCAATTTAACAAGCAACATTTAGTTTAAATGTTTGTTTTCATTTCATTTATAATAAGAAAATATTTTCTCCATAGTGGTAATGAAACAATAGATTACTCTTTGGATTTAGTGACTCTTAAAACCTTATGCTAGTTGAGTTTCACAAAATTAAATGCTTTTATTAGTGTTGTGACTTTGATTTAGGAAATGTGTTATGAGTTTCTCTAATCATTTTAATACAAAAGAAGAATTAAGGCAAGTTATGCTTATAAATTGTTATACCCAAGTTAGATTTTGAACACAAATATTGCACTTTGGTATTCTCATGATTATTTAACCAGATGTTCAAGTAATGAAAGTTCAAAACCAACCATATTTTTCTTATTGATTTTACATCAAACTTTGCTTTTGTTGTATTATGTTTTTAAATCTTAGTGTAATTCTAGTTTTCTTTTAAACATCTCAAAAGATCAAAATCCCCCAATTTTATTTTATTTTAGTTTTACAAGTGTTTGTACAACAATATTATCAAAGTTAACCAATCTCATTAGATATTATTCATTTACCATTATACACTATTTTAGTATGTAATATTAAGACTATTTATTTTGTTGGCCTCGACAACCACCAAAAACAATGTTCATTTACTAGGCAAAACTGAATGTGTGTTGTCGGTGAAACTACAAGTACTTCAAAGAAGAAAGAGAATGTTATAGAATTTGAAAAGGATCTTATATATTGTGATTAGTTTGGCAATGTTTTGAGTAAAGAATTGAATTGATTTGTAGGGATTTTTTGCATAATCTATTAGTTTGATGATCTAAAATGTAATTGTCGTGTCCAATCTCCCTATATTAATAAAATAGTAGTTTTTTTGTCCATGAAACATCTTATTAGACCTCCTAATTAATGTCACTCACTTATCAACCTATTAATTATTTATTTCAAATTTCAAATTTTAAAATTTACACTCTAATTATATTAAATTAATAATATTACAATAAAAAATAAAATTAATACAAGTTATAAGGTGCTATAATTTCACGTACGTATGTATTTGAATCAATAATTATAATTATATATAACTAAAAAAATCTCTTAACTAATAATTTATTTAAAATAATTGATTAATAATTCTTAGTATTTAGTATAAAAGTTTAATTAATTTCATAAC